AAGAAAGACGCCGAAGGGAGGAAGAGCAAAGACAACGAGAGGAAAATGAGAGGGAAAAAGAACGAAGGGAACGAGAAGAAAGGAATAGAAARAGGCAAGAAGAAGCAAGAAGAGGAAAGGAGGAACGACAACGAAGAGAACGAGAAGCACGTAAGTGTCGCCCGAACCAATCGCATTGCTCGAGAATTTACTCTCCATCCAATCAAATACCCGGAACACGGCCCTGTCATATCCCGTCTGTTTTTCTGTCCGTCATAGAAGGTCACGCAAGAAATACTATACTACTTGTCATGCAAAGCACTGTGCATCGCGTTACTTGTCGCTTACGACAGCTTGACCTTTTCGCAGTAAAACACAGCATAGCGTTCAATGTATTTTCCTACATAAGCAAAAGTGTTTGAGTTTATTCTTAATATTTTAATATTTTATAGTTAAGAACTCACTTTTTATGGAATTTGGAGATGTGCTTGACCCAGAGATTATTACCTTAACCATGGAAAGTGTAAGTATAACGAAACCTTGAGAATGCGCTGTTGAAAACTTTCGTTAAGTCAAAACATTTCAGTGGCTTTTGGTGGGAATATTACGGTTACTAAGWTAAGAAATATTCAATAAACAATATCACATGACTAACGTGTATAAATACCCAGCCATATTGAGACAAGTTTTAACGTGCAATATCCCGTATCTGTTTTTACACTGCAATGTTTTATTTATTAACGATGTCAATTATGCTTCATTATAGAGTACAAACACTATAAGTGTGTAACATAAATACCACTAAATACTGCTAAATTATGCTAATCCTWTTGTTTTCTATTGTTTAATTAGCACCATGCACTACTAAATAGTGCAAAGTGTTGCACACTTTTAGTGTTTGTACTCTAGTTTCTCGGGGAAAACCTATTAACTTATCGTGACAATATCACATGACTAACGTGTACAAATATCCAGCCATATTAAGACAAGTTTACTTGCAATAACCCGTATCTGTTTCACAGTTTCTCGGCGAAAATTTCCGAGCTCCAATTTTTTTTTCGAGAAAAAAATGCTTGGTGAAACAAGCACAGACACACCTTAATAAGTTTTATTTGTCTTCAGCTGAAATACGAAGAAGGGCAGTGTCGTACTGTTCTGCAAAATGTAAAAGGTAAATCTATGTTTTCTTTAGCTTATCCTACTATTAATTCAACRCTTGTTTTACTAGAAATGTAAATAATGCTAAAGATGCTTTTATTGTGTCTAGATGTCACAGAGAATGTTGAATAAAATAAATAAATAAATAATAAATAATATTAATAAATAACAATAATATAAGTTTAAAAATAATTGTGACAACCCAAAGTGTTCAAAGCTTTTTATTGCCGTACGTACGKACGTACCTTTTTCATCAAACAAATTGAAAATAGAAAAAAAAAAAAGTCGGAAAGATTTTGCTTAATGTTGAGCTGGCTTTCTCATTACTAAATACCATCAAACTGCGGACACAGGACACACAGCAATCGATGTCACAAGCCATGAATCACGACGCAATGTGTTGTAGACAATGTTTCTCAAGTAGCAAACGACCCTACTCCAGCAACATTGCCTGCAATATTACGCACAATGTTGCACCGTATGTCAGTCAGCTTCAGATTGATAACTATTGACACACCACACGTCTACATCACATAGAGCTGTTAAGTGTGACGTAATTCGAACGAAATACGACTTCCGGGTCCAAATTAATAATTACTTCTACAGACATTTTTCTGTTTTTTTTCTTCTTCATAGCAGAATTTTCTGTTTATAGTATGTCTAATTAATGAAAGGTAGAGAATAAATCCTGTGAATAAGGYGTGGCAAGAGTTTAGGGATCTTTTGTTGTGTGACTAGACCCGGAAATACGTCACAACTTTAAACCCCTWTTGATTTGATCTTCTCTTTTGTGTACACAGAGAAGCAAGTTGAACTAGATAGGTATGTTATGAATATTGAGAAAAAACTCGATTGCATTTTTACCTTTCCATTCATTTTTTGTGCTATTCCCGTTGCCATTTCTGTTTCATCTTTCTCTCGTTCTGTTTAGTTTCCGCTCTTTCGTTTTGAAGAGATTTCGTTTAAATGAGGGGGAAAACATGGCTATTTATTCTGTTTTGGTTTTAGGCAAAGAGAAGAAGAGAGGAAAAATAAAGCAGAAGAAGAGAGGAAAAAGAAAGTAGAAGAAGAAAGAAAAAAGAAAGCAGCTCGGCAAAGAGTCACGGAAGCTCCACAAGGAACAAAAACATCAAAGCCATCGCAGGCAAGCAAGCCGTCGCCTCCAAAAGCTGTTAAACAGAGAACAGCGCAGCCACGAAAACCCCGTGTTTCACGGTGAGTTTATTTCATATCTTCCATTTTACCAGCTACCTGTTTTGCTTCAAACTTACACACATACTTGTAGTCTGGGTTCCCGAGGCGTGCTCGCTCTAGGTTTCCGTTTATCGCGAGACCAAGAAGCACTTGAGTGAGAGACCTAGTGCTTAGAGCAACATCCTACTTGCGACATTCTTACATTGTCACACTTTCTTTTGGACCACGTCTATTGATTTTTAAAATCACCACGGCCTCTGAGAAGAGCGCACAATAAGATATTCAAGCTTTCTGATTGGATGTTACCTATTTTAGCGTACCGTGATTGGTTGAACAGATGTCGTGTATTCCGCGCCTTGTGCGCTAATTTTCAGCTTAGTTCTCAGCATTGTTGGGCATTGTATAAAACAGATTTTGAATGAGAATAAAAAGCGCAGTCACGTCACGTTTTTTTTCTCAGTCCCACTATTCTATTCATGTCATTTTATTTCTCTAGGTCCCAGTTCAAGTCTCCATTGATCAGCCAGCCTAATGGACCAAACTCGGCTTTAGTAAATGGGCCCAATGCTTCGCTGGTCAGGTATGCCATAWCATACACAGTAGGGCAGATTTTGTATTGCTGAAGTATTTTGATAGATCCTATTCCTAATGATATGGTTTGATTTCAGTTCACGAGCAGTCAGAGTCAATGGGCCACAAGAAGGTAACAGACATGGACCCAACCCTAGGAACGTGCATGGACCATGTGGACTAAATAATCACAGACAGTACCTAAACAAAGGTAACACTTTACTTCATGGTTGGGGGGGGAGGTGGGGAAAGGGTAGGGTGGGGTCAGACAGACATGGGCCAACCCTGTGAACATGCATTGAACATGTGGACTGAATACCCGCAGACAGTTCCTAGACAAAGGTAACATTTTACTTGAAGGGGGGAGGGTGTGGAAGGGGTCAAACATGGACTCTGCATAGAAGAGGGCTTTAAAATATATTCAAGTTAATTGAATCGTTTTGTTTTTTAATAGGTCCTCATTCAGATAATCTCCATGGTCAACAAGGAGGTTTAGTTAAGGGATCAATCTATAATGTCTCTATCATGACCTCTGTATAAACCCATATACACCACAAAMTTGTGTATTGATTACCTCCAGATCGCCTCTCTTTCTCTCCCATGTGGATGGAAGGTGTTTAGAAGTGACACTTAACAGACTGTTAACAATCCCTCTTTTCCTCTCCTATGAGTTGTTTTTTTTTCACTCCCACTTGGATTCAATCTCCGCACGTCCACAATCCAAAATCGTTTTTTTACTGAGTGTGGAGTTAAAAGTGGGGCTGCCCATCATTCAATCCACAGTCTGTATGACCTATTATATATATCATACGAGACACTAAACTTCATTAGTATTTCAATACTTTTAATTATTAAGAGATGTAAAAATATTTGGGAATATGTTATGAGCTGCATTTATCCTGGGCAAGTATTTACTTCCACTTYATTGGTGTTCATATTCARTGGGCCCTTCTCAAAAGTATCGTGGATGCGAGGCCAACATGGAAATACGAAAGAAATCACTCTTGTTCCTGATGGAATTTGTGGTATTTCTTATGTATTTCCAAGTTAGCCTTGCATTCGAGACACTTTTTAAGAAGGGTGTATTGCATAATTACTATATATAAGTATAAGATAACTGTAATTACAAAATAAAATCAAGCCATTCATATAGTACAATGGTTTCTTGCCTATTTCTTTTTTTTTT